CCATCCATTTCTGAGGGACTTCAGATATCCAATGGATGTGCTAAAAACCCCGCTGTGTCTGGTGCTTTAACAGCGGACCTGTCACAAAGCCTCACACCTCGTGGCCGGCTCAGCGGCCCGTCTCTGGCTCCCATCTCTGACATCTGCTCAGGGTTGGGGTTTCATTCAAGAGGGGGGCAGAGGGAGTCAATCTGCTCTTTTAAAAGAGCCTCACAGTGCCCTGGGTGCTGATGGGGAGGAATGAAGAATCCGCACCATTTCTCTTGCTGGCACCACTGGTGTGCTATTCTCCATCCCTTCCCCATCAATGCCACCACAACTCAAAGCCGTCTTTCATATCCTCCCACGGCTCCAGATTGACAGGCATCAGACAGTTCAGGTGATGAGGAGGAGAGGGTGTGAATGGAGATAGAGAGGTGCCATGTTTGAACACTTCCTAAAGAAGCACGCCCGATACTCTGCAAAAAAAAGGCCCCGCGCTTCCAGCCCTTTTTGGCAAGTCGACCATGATGACTATTTGAAGACTTGACAGATTGTGCTGATGTGTTTATTTAGTTGCGCAAATGCGGAATGGAGCTGTTTTCAAGCTTTATTTATGTTGCATATTAACTCGGTCACCAACAGAAATGAGGCAGCATCAATCATCCACTTGATGGGAAGAACACTGAAACATTTATTTTAGATAGCGGCATCTGTACGCTTTCCCAAGTAGAAGGAAAAGAAATTATCTGCACCTTGAACACTTCCTAAAGAAGCACGCCCGATACTCTGCAAAAAAAGGCCCCGCGCTTCCAGCCCTTTTTGGCAAGTCAACCATGATGACTATTTGAAGACTTGACAGATTGTGCTGATGTGTTTATTTAGTTGCGCAAATGCGGAATGGAGCTGTTTTCAAGCTTTATTTATGTTGCATATTAACTCGGTCACCAACAGAAATGAGGCAGCATCAATCATCCACTTGATGGGAAGAACACTGAAACATTTATTTTAGATAGCGGCATCTGTACGCTTTCCCAAGTAGAAGGAAAAGAAATTATCTGCACCGTTGTATATCACTACATAGACGCTAAATAATATCGCATGCATTTCTAGGAATGCTAATTTGTTTTTATAAAAAATGATACAGATTTGGAAATATTTAACTGATAGTTTACCCAGAAACAAAATATTCTGTCGACAACATTTCTTTCGTGTTCCACAGAAGAAAGAAACATTTTTGCAGAATTTTCATTTTTTGGTAAACTATCCCTTTAAATAAAAGAAAAAAAGACATCAAGTTCATAGAAATAGGAATAGTATATGTGATGAATGGTGCACTATTGCTATGATGTAGCATGTAGTCATTATAATCATTAAACATTTGGATGTATTTAAAACGCATTGATTAAATGGCTGCAGTGACAGGCTTTGCCACTGTGTCACGGTGAGTAGAGAAGCACAGACACAGAGCTGAGGATTGTTTCACCATGTAACTCCAGTCTCTGTAACTACTTTACCACCTGAACACAAGTGGCATTCTTCTCCTAGATAAAAATCACCTTGGCGCATTTGTAGGACATGTAGCCACTTACTGCTTGTAAAGATTACGCCTTGGAGCATGACTTTTAAAGGTGGCGGCTATTATCACTCCGTGTATCCGACCGGGAAGGAGATGGGCTGCAAATGAATATTGTCCGGGAGATTTTAACATGAATGAAAGTGTGTTTGTAATCTAAGTGCATGTGTATTTATTCATTAGACTAACGGTGTTGGAAATGTAATACTGCAGGCTGCACAGAGCAGGTTTGATTGGACAAGCTGTGATTTAGAGCAAGTCTCAGGGCTTAAGCAGGAATCTTTTCTGTGCGGGGAGAGGTTGAGGGTGCCACACGCAAAAGCTGAAGAACCCATGTAAGCATTGTGTTCCACAGATGAAAGAAAGTCAACATGAGGGTTGGTAATTAATTACAGAAGTTTCATTTTTTGGTAAACTATCCCTTTAAAGAAAGGGAAAAAACAACAACATGTTCATAGATATAGGATATATGATAAATGATGCACCATAGCTATGATGTAGTATTTAGTCATTAATCATTAAACATTTGGATGTATTTAAAACGCATTGATTAAATGGCTGCAGTGACAGGCTTTGCCACTGTGTCACGGTGAGTAGAGAAGCACAGACACAGAGCTGAGGATTGTTTCACCATGTAACTCCAGTCTCTGTAACTACTTTACCACCTGAACACAAGTGGCATTCTTCTCCTAGATAAAAATCACCTTGGCGCATTTGTAGGACATGTAGCCACTTACTGCTTGTAAAGATTACGCCTTGGAGCATGACTTTTAAAGGTGGCGGCTATTATCACTCCGTGTATCTGACCGGGAAGGAGATGGGCTGCAAATGAATATTGTCTAGCAGATTTTAACATGAATGAAAGTGTGTTTGTAATCTAAGTGCATGTGTATTCATTCGTTAGACTAACGGTGTTGGCTGCACAGAGCAGGTTTGATTGTACAAGCTGTGATTTAGAGCAAGTCTCAGGGCTTAAGCAGGAATCTTTTCTGTGCGGGGAGAGGTTGAGGGTGCCACACGCAAAAGCTGAAGAACCCATGTAAGCAGAAAAATCCATTAGATAAAGCTATTTCACTGGCTGATTATTCGCTAGATAAAATTATTTCAGTAATAAATGCTTACAGCAAGAGCCAAAGCTAATAACCACATCCATTTTAGTCCTAATTTTACTGGTTAGAACAAAAGGGCATATTGAATTAAGGCATAAATTCACACAGATTAGTTGAAAGAATATGGTAGTGGGTAATTATTAGGACCTTATTTTACAGTTCTACAAATGTTATTTACTATGCGATTGAATAAATGGCTATTAAGCAATCAATTTCCAATTGATTGGAGGTTATTAGAAAACATAGAGCTTCAACAAAGAGTCGTAATATTCTTTTTTTCTTCTTTTTTTTTGTCCGTCATTAGACTGATCGTGCTGTGATTTCCAATTGAACTGTCAATTCACCTAGCCCAGTACCATGAGCTTTACCACTTTCTGGTTGTTAATGTAATCTAAATATACATTAATTGCTATGTGACTTTGACAGAATATGAATGATATTTAAAAATAAATAAATAAATACAGTTGACGATAACTGATTAGTCCAATGGAAATTAACTCCTGTGGGTTGAAGGATTCATACAGCCACAAAAGGAAACCGAGTTTCAACTGTTGTAACTTTTGTTGCTTTAAATACAAAGACTGTATCGCTGTGTGTCCAACATCGATGACTTGACTTTACACATAGAAAACTTTTAGGTAATAGTAATAACCAAGACAAAAGAGCAAAACTAAGAAATAAAAAGTTTTTTAAACCTGAAGCAAATTTTACGTCTCATATTTGCACAAATCTACCGAGCAGCAGCAGAATCTGGACATATTTTTGACTGAGAGTAAATATAGTATATATATATATATTTATTTTTACTTCTTCAAAGCTTCATTCATTTGAAGGTTCAAATGAATCCATTGATAACTTAAAGCTGCATATCTTTCCTTTTTTGCTATTTATACCACTGTTTGAAATGCCAACAGTGGTACATTAAAGTGTGATATATCAAAGTTATTTTTCTAATAAGACAATTTTGCATAATTATTGTTTTTCACATCAGTAGCTCTGTCTTATTTTTACATTTCAAAATATTTTCATTTTTTATTGGCTGCCAGCATCATAATTTTGGCTGGAAAGCTTTTGTTTTGAATTAAGACATTCTCACAGTCACAGCAACGGCATTGCATTGAGACATAATTGTCTGTTGAGTGTTTCTCAGGTTGTGTCCAAACTCGTGTTAGATCTCAGAACAAACAGACAAAGCCTAGTATCACAGACTCAGCCTAATATGTGTAGTTTCAACAAAATTGATGGCAAAAGGATTCCAAGTGTGAATATTTGGCTTCATTTTGTCATGTTAATTTTTTTATTTATATAATAGTTTACAGAGACTCAGTTGGAAACATCTATTTATGAATGTAAAAAAAAAAAAAAAAAAAACTCAAAACAAAACAGAAAAAAACTAAATACTTTATAAGCAAGGGTTATTAAATGCCATTAACCACATTTCACCTCTGAAAACACTAGCTTTGAATTTTTCACCATCCTAGCAGTTTTGTTTCATTCTGCAACTCCATCAACTGTTAAGGTGTGAGACAAATAACAATACCACCCTCTGGACTGTGATTTTTTTGAAGACTGGAGGTGATATAATATATCACTTCCCATTAGCGAGGTTTCACAAACATCACAATTATTATAAAGACTCAAATATCAAAAAGCTCAAAAAGCTTCAAATATCTATATGCTAATGTAGATTTAATGTATATACGCTAATATCTGTGTGGTAGTTTACACAGCTTTCCATATTTTGAGGGGATTTTGAAGAGTATGTCCAATTATAGATGCCAAATAGCATGATTTACATATTTAGCCCTTGTCATATTAGGGGCAGACACCTGATGCCTGGTGTTGGCTGACTGAGTGGGCTATGGAACCATTGCCCTCTAGAGGCCAGTTGCCACCTAATATATCCCACTCTCATCAATGCTTGACCATGTACCCACACCTGTTTGTGTGTGCGAAATAAAAGTATAATATTTCTTTTCACTGATAATGGTCACAGAAAGTGAATATTTTATAGCGCCAAAACTTACCAGTCATTATATCAAACCACATTCAAAAGTGAAAGTAAAGAACTGCGGCACAAGCTATTATGTGGCTGAATATAAAATCATCACACTTTAGGGACACACAGTGTGTCCATGATTAAAGTGTTATTTGTGCTACTGATTTGTGAGCAATTAGTTCCAAAATTCTCAATTCAAACACCCTTGTCAGAGCAGGTTTTTCTGCAGGTTTGGATACTTCTAGTTGTACTAAGTATATTGGAGTGTATTCTCTTCTCGACCATATTTATAATTCAATA